TATGTCTAGGTCATGTGATTCTACACAGTTGCTAAGCAACATACGCGGGGCTGCTTCCTAAAGAGCTGTCTTTGACCCAAACTCATTTTACAATTCACTGTTCAAAGCTCACCAAAAACACATGATGGTTTGGCCTTCCCTCTGAACATTTTATTCAGGTAGTTGGAAGTAGAAATTACATTTTAGCTTTACAACACAAATCCTTTTGTAATTATTTTTCATAATATATGTAAGACTTGAAAAGAAATGTTTGTTTCTATTTCTTATAAATTGTTAAATTAAATAGTACTAGTTTCTGCTGGCTCGTTTCCAACTGGTATTTTCTTATGCACGTTTATACATGTAAAAGTGAGATTCCAAAAGTCAACTTCTTGCTGTTCATATTTTCTTTTATTTTTGAACCAAAGTTTGTAACTGTCACCTCAAAGAGGGAAATACAAATTTTATTAATAAAATCAAGTCTTGTTTATCTGGATTGGTCATTCTCTTATTTCATTGTCCAAAATGCACACACTGTCATTACTCTAACTTTATTCTGCCTCCAGACCATCCGGGCTTGAAAAAAATGTTACTACATGTCCTGGAAAGCACTGGGCAACAGCACTGGGAAGAGAAAGTTAACAGAGGGTGCTGATCTGGCCACTGGCCGTAGGCAGCAGGGATAAATTCTCATGTGGTTGGTGTGGATTTATAGCTCCAGCAGTCCAGGTAATACCACCAAACACAAGACAGGAGCCTGACACTCCTTCCCCAGCCACTCACAACTTACAGCAACTGTCCATTCCTCAATCTCGTGCTTGTAGGACTCCATTGGGTATGCAAATGACCCTATTTATTAATAGGAAATAGAAGGCAAGAATGAGACCAAGGCTTGGAAAGTAGTGGAACACAAAATGTCCAGCATCTTGTTTTAGACTGTGGAACCAGAACCAGCAATGGGTCCAATGACATGACATATGTCCCCTTCCCTCTTTTTAATCTGCTACTTGTTCTCCATGAACTCTGGCGATGTCTAAGTAAGATGTGAGGGCAGCTGCAATAAGTTTGGCAGAGAAGCAGCCATTTTTTCCTGCTCAAGGGGGCTGGGCTAAGTTAGGAGCTGACCTGTTCAAGCCTATCTAAAAAAAACTCCTTGTCTGAGTGCTTTAGGGCAAAAAATAAAGATGGTTGCAGTTTGGCAGAGTCAGGATTAGCCTGCAGCAGAATGTTGTTTCTAAGAATGCAATGACATATTCAAGCAGTCAAATGAAACCAGATCTCCAAAATTAGTCCAAGCATCTTGCCAAGGTTTGTGTCAGCAACGTCACAAAGGAGGAAATGAACTTGAGTCTTCCAGTCTTTTCAGCAAGGATCTGGTTTATTATTTAACCTTTCTGAAGGCCTTAACCACTTACCTTGCTATTTATCCTTGTCATGAAAGCATCTCACCATTGCTTGTTATCTCACCTCATTGTCTTATCTCTTTCTCAATCTGCTGTTCTTTTCTTTCCAAGTTTCAGATTAAAGGGGGAAAAAATGCCATTATATATTCTTCCCTTCAAGCAAAAATTAAGCTCTTGGTTTTCCCTTGAAAGAAGTCTCCTGTTAGCAGTGCTTAAAACCCAAACAAAGAAACCAAAAGGGCACTTCAGAACAGAAGAAAGTTTCACATCAAAACTCACATATTAGTCTTCCTATGAAAAAAGCTTCAGATTATATAGTCAAATTCTAACAGCCGTAAAAACATAAAACCTCCAATTCATGATACAGTATTATAAAATACTTAGAAACAAATCAAACCTCCAAAACTATGCCAGCCAAATTCCTCGCTCAGCCAAACCCAAAATGAAAGACTGATCAATATTCTTCATACCCTAAATTAAAGACCTGTGCAATCACAAAAAGACTGAAATTGTTATATAACATGTGGATTTTATGTCTAGAAACAGAACTTGGGTGTTCTGTGAACTTGAGGGTTCACCCTACCTAAAGCAGACTGGGCAATTTGTTTTGAAAGTTTGCTTCAAGACCCTTTAAACAGAAAGCCATCCTGGAGATGATTTCTTCACTGCAAACACAGACTGTGGTTGTGTTCCATGGAAGGGAGTAACTCAGCACATAGGAAACCAAGCCCAAAAATTACTCCAGACTGAGGCAATGTTCTGACCAGAATTACACAGAGTGAATTGACTAGAGTGGCAGAAACTGTTCTGCATGCTTGAGTGGAGTTTCTTTGCCTCTCATGCTGGATAGAGCAGTATCCACTCACCATGACTGGCACATCTCTTAGAAAAGCTCATAAAATGCAATGAAGATATTTTTTTCCAGTCTGAGTGAGAGCCATTATGGCTAACACCAACAGTTACCTTGTGACACAAAAAGGTACAAAGCTTCATAGAATAAGGACAGTGAGCTCCTTAAGATTTTTCCCCTTGGTAACAGCTTTGTTAATTTCAAAATTAATCTTCACATGCTAATGGCTGGAAGGAGAAGCCTTACTAGCCACTGGTTTTCTATTGCAAGCACACTCATTTTTCCATGAAAGAACATCTTCTATTGTAGATGGACCAAAAAAATTGAAAATTACAAAGATGGGATATTAAATGTCGTGTCTATTATATTTACCTGGAAACCTGTCTTATTTGTGTTCCTCTTGAAAGCACATAAATTATCAGAGGCTCATTGTTAGTTCAGTGAAAAGCAATGCCAAGATTATTGCCAAGGAGTAGATTGCTCTAAAGCTATTTATACATTTTGTTTCCAATAAAAACGTTGAAGATTAATACAGTGAGGAAGGCTGCAAGCTTACAGATATGCCGACACTCTGCTCTAGCCAAGGCCTTGTTTCCTTCTCAGCTCTGTGAATGAAGGCTCTGTTCTAATGAGAGACGATGCAGCCAAAGCCCACATCGGACATATTTTGTCTAGGTTGTCCAGGGAGCTTTGGCAGACCTTGACTTTGTTTCCAATATCTCACGGGGCAGGGGGGGAAGAAGTGATCTCCATCAAAACACACCTAATTTCACTAAGACAGACAAGAGTTGTTAAAAACTCAGCAGTGGGACTGGGATCTAAGTGCCTCCTCTGCTCCCTATTATAATCAAAGAAACTGGGTTTTTTAACATCAAAAAGTCAACATAGTTAATCTTGCTGAAGCATGAAAGTAACTACAGCTTGCACTGTGATTAAAATGTGGATGAAAATTAGAAATTCAGTCCATCCAATAAGATGCTGGATGGAAACCAAATTAATTCTCTTCTAGCCCCAGAAGTTCTCTAAAGTGGATCTTCTGTTGTGTTTTCAGTGGTTAATTAGAAGAACCTTTCTGAGTTCACAGGACTAGGACAAGGCTGCCCAGAGCCCCAAGGTCATCTTAATAATCTTAATAATCAGGAATGAACACAGGAGCCTCACACTCAGCTCCCCTCTCACCTGAAATATTTCACAGCCACAGATCTTGCACATGGCCTTAGTCCCCGTGGGCTGCAGCAGTGCAAGGCCACTGAGTCATGGCCTCAGAGGCCCAGCCTGAAAGCTCTGCAGTTCCCCACCAGAAGTTAAAAGTAAACATAGCTACAGCAGAGCCATAAAGCTGAGTTTTTTAAATTAAAAATGTTAACTACATGAGGAGACTAAGGATGTGACTAACAAATTAAACAATTACACTATAATTGTTGTTTCTGAAATTGAAATAATTATTTCTTATTTGTTAGCTTACTCAGAATGTTACTCAGAGAGCCCACACAAGTCAGCCAGGGTATATCATGGAGCTGCATGACTTCTAGAGCAGGTCCTCCTCATTACAGCAGGAAAGTATATTAAGTAGAATGAGAGGTGGAAAGATTTAGAATGAAGTTGTTTTACAGACATAAAAGCTTTCCTCTGTCAAATATTAACTGAAAAAAAAAAAAAAAGATAAGGTTTTATATCCTATCCTTACATTCTCTTGAGCCTGGGCCTTTATTTTGTTACAATATCATCTCAATGGCAGCTCAGGTGAGAAAGTAGCTGTGCTTTGTGGTCCTGGTGCCCAAATTAGCTCACAAAATAACATAGCACAATGTCAGGGCTCAGGTTATGGAAAATGAATAAAAATATAATCTTCCTAACATTCACTATTCAGTAACTTTCTGATTTGGATGTATAGCAATCAATTATCCCTTTGTCATTCCTCAGAAGGATTTTAGAAATATCCACTTTGCTCTAAGCCTGCAGAGTTTTTCAGTGCACAGATATTAAGATCAAAGTTGTTTACTGTCAGAAAGAACCAAAAATGGAATTTTAATTTGTGAAAACTTTCCACAGCACTCCAAATTCTGAAAAGAATAAAGAACATTTCACCTTCCAACTACTCCCCGTTTTTAAATTGTGATGTTTCCATTTGAAATAATGAGATGTTTTTGTCCAAACTCATTGAAAGTATTTGATTGACAGGACATCCAGGGGTACCCTCATCAAGATTGTTTTTTCCATGTGCTGGGAGACAAGCGATAAGTACAATACTAACATACTGAAGATTGTTTTTTCCATGTGCTGGGAGACAAGCGATAAGTACAATACTAACATACTGGAATAAAATACAATACTAACATATTAGTGGTATAAAAACACCTCTAGAAGAGAAAGGCACAATAAAATAGTTCTCAATGTATAACAGAAAGCAGGGAAATGTAGTGGGGGAGAAAAAAGGAAATAAGAAAGCAGGGGGAAATACGTAGGAAAAGAATGATAGAAGAACTTGCTTCCCTCAGCCGAGGGCAGGAGGGTGAGAAATCTTTAAGGGCAGTCTGGGAGCATCCCATATGATTGCTGCTCCTGCAGGGCTCAGGTTTGTTTCTCACTCAATGCAAAGGCAGGGTGCAGCACTGGCCCCACAGTTGGGAGGCAGCAGCAAAACTGGTTTATAAAAAACACACCTGAAGAGCAGCAAAGATTGCAAGCCTGTGTGGGAAACACCTGCACAACTGCCTGCAGGCACATCCCTGTGCCTCGCTCTCCCTCCCCTCCCTTCCCACACTCACCTCTCTCTCAGACATTCCTGGTACTGCCTCCTCTGCAGGATCTCTGTTCTTCTGGAGCAGCCACATTTTGCTGGGACACTGGAAAGCACAGGAGATCTGAAAAGAGGAGACAACTTTTAAGGTGAAGAGAGAATGGATGATGGAGGAGGGTGAGCAGGCTCAGAAATCAATATACACCCACACTACCATACTGCCAGACTCATAAAATATAGAGCCTTTATGGACCATCTAGATTAGGAACAGGCAATTTCTGTGTCCTTTTCCTACCACAGAGAAGCATCAAGACCAGGCAGCTCTGAGGGCTGTCTCAGAAAGGAAAGTCAGATAAAAACAATAGGGAGTTCAGCTCACACTGCTGACCCTTTGAAACCTCTCTCTTCCCTTTAAATTTGACCTATTCAGTTCTTTGAACACATTGACATCACACCAAAGCCACAATATCACAATGAACCACATTTGACCTAGCATCACATCTTCCCATGAAAATATTCCTAAAAAAAGGAATAAAAATATTTTAAATGGACAGTCCACATGAACTGAGGATACCTGAAAATGTTTCTGATTAAATGATTCTTGACTATTCCAATGCATTATGCAGTTTTGCGTGTGTGCATTCATTTCTCATGTTTTCCATAATCTTTCTGATGACTGTATGCACAAGTGTACCATGTGGAAACAGCAGTGAGCCAATGTGATTACTCATTAAACTTAATGAGAAGGTTAGAATTATCTACTGTAAAACTAAGAAGAAAGCAAAATCACAAATTTAAAAGCTAACTAAGGGCTGAAACATATGCAAGTAAATTAGTTAATACACTCTTAACATGCAGAACAATAAATATCTCATACACAGCAAATTTGGATGCATGTTACCCAAGTGTAACTCAGCTGTGATGGTGTATGAAATGATACATTTAAGTCTAATCAGACACATAACTCAGAGGAAGCAAAACCACAAAGTACTTAAGGGCTGTCTTGCAACACTGGAATATTTTTGACAGCCAGATAGCATTCTGCTCTTCTCTGTTTAAACAAAGGGAAGGAAGACAGAGCTTGATGTGTGCCTCCAGATCTCTGTAAATAAATGCAGGGTGACTCCTACACACAGAGGTCAGGGCTATAACGACACAAAAACCAGAAAAGGATGAAGCCCAGGGCCTGTGAACAATGTATGTGTGACAAGGGAGAGTTACAGAGGAAGATGACCAAGTACAGCTGAGGGATCATAAAACCACAGGGTATCCTGAGCTCAGAAGGACTCCCAAGGATCACTGAAGCCCAGCTCTGCACAGGCCCATCACCAAGGGTCACACCACTCCTGAGAGCATTGTCCAAGCACTGCCTGAGCTCTGCCAGGCTTGGTGCTGTGACCCTGGGGAGCCTGTTCCAGTGCCCAAACACCCTCTGGGGGAAAAACCTTTGCCTCTGCCTAATATCCAACCCCAGCCTCTTCTCAGCTTCACGTGAGTTACCTGTGTCCCACTAGTGGTCACCAGAGAGAGAGATCAGTGCCTGCCCCTCCATTTCTGCCTGTGGGCCAGCGGAGGCCTGCCCTGAGGTCCACACTCTCCTTCACACTTCGCAAGCCAAGTGACCTCAGCTGCTCCTGATATGGCTTCCCCTCAAGGCCCTTCACTGTCTTGGTAGCTCTCCAATAGTTTTAAATCTTCCTTCTGTTGTAGCACCCAAAACTTGTACTCAATGTAATACTTACAGTTTAGTACTCCAGGAAATACTCAAAAGCCCTTCTTTAAGAGGTGGCTTTAAGGATGCTTTTCAATGTTTGTTCTGACCAAAGCTCCCTGCTGAGGCCTGGGTTTGGCACTCCCAGCAGCAGCGCCCCGTGACCACTCAGGGCCTGTGCTCTGCCGGGTGGTTCCAAAGCCCACAAGGTGACTTTGACCCCATGTGTCTGTCAAAAGACACACAACTCCACTTACCCCTAGCTAAAACCCAACGTTATCTTTTTGTCAGGAATTTTCCTCCCCTCAATTCTCATTTCTCCTAAAAGCATCATATTAAAAATTTACCACTCCCAGCACCCACCGAGTTTTATGCATGTGAGGTAGATTCACATTCAGTTGTTATCTCTTCAAAGGCGTAATTAAGGTAAAAAAAACCCAACAAAATCTCAAACTCCACCAAACAGAAACGTTGCCCTCTCCTCCTTTGAACCTGTGCATGTGCTCACAGGATGATGGCACTCTGACCTTTCTCCCTGCCATGCCATGCAAAACACTTCCCATGAGCTAGCACCACTCTGGGGGTCATCCTCTCCAGAGCTGGATGGCTGCAACATGAGGTGAGAGACCTTTTCAGAGTGAAGGAATGAAAAGGGTTTGTTTTCTTTACCCAGGTGTTTCTGTGGTAGAATGAGCTGCAAAATCAGAGTGGGTATGAGCATTCAAACAGCAGGCATGCAAAGATAATATTTAAACAACTCTATAAATGAGCTAAGGATGTGTGTCACTGGTTTTGAAGCACTATCTAAGGAGTTTTTATGCTGAAAACACTTCTGTTGAGACATAAGTCATATTAAGCAGCTTTGTGGCAGATACAGTAGCTCCTCTTTCATGCAGTCTCTCTCTCTGAAAGCTCTGATTGAGAACTAAGACACATTAAGGGTTTAGTGGTTAAGCCTGGAAGCTTCCTTCAGTAAACTCCTTCCTGAATTAATTGCTGCTCAGCTCATCACCCATAATAATATTTTCAAAATCCTTCCCCTATCATCTTCCTCTGTCAGGTTAAATTAATCTTTTTGATGTGACACACATTAAACACTGTAAAAGAGGAACAAAAGTTTCACTACTCAATAGGGAGAAGAAGCACAGAGTGTTGTTAATGTCCACAGGTCTGCTTTTGCACTTGGTGAAATATGAAGGACATTTCAGCATAATTTTAAAGATAAACAGTTGAAAAGAAAGAATTCCCTTGTCCACAGTCCATCACCTTTAAGGACCATGGGGAGGATTTTTCTATATTCACAGCTTTAGGATGCTTCTATGCAACATGTACAACAAAGTGAGAGACCTGCACCAGTCTTACACACAGACAAACATCAAATTATCAGTTGTGATTTTGTCTAGGCTCTCTTCCCCTGGTTCTCCTTATCTGTGAATTGTCTTAGGCTGAAGGTATCCTATAGAAACAAATGGAATTATAAGTCTTGCTCAAAAAACACAGCTGCCAGGCAGGCAGGTGGGAACTGCAAAGTAAAACACTCCTGAGCAGGGCAGAACTCCAGGACATGGTAAATTCTTAAATTAACAAACATGCAAACAATGCAGTTTTCCTTGCTAGGCACTGCTGCTATGGGGATTGCAAAAAAAGGCCTTACCCTTAATGAGCTAGGATCCAGTTATGCAGAAAATGCGAAGACACATTTTAAACACCTAGGGATAAAAGGAGAGAAAGGTTAAGACAGCCTTGATCTGTATCCCATCTGAAAATAAATGCAAATTCTTTCTCTGGCAGATGCTTTTAGAACACTTGGAAAAAACCAAACCAACAAAATATTATTTTTCTCTAATGCTTTCATGCAAATACTAACAAATTGAAAAAAAAAAAAAAAAAAAAAGCTTGAGCTGTAAATATAGATTATGTATCTTACAAGTGTCCAAAAGTTTTAAAGCAAATCAAAATAATTTTTTTCAGTAGGCTCAGACTTCCTGTACATAGGTGTAATACATTTAGTTTTTCAACTCCTTAAAAGCTTTTATACTTGGAAAAAAAATAACCTTTCAGTCAATAAGACATTGTCAACACATGCCAGTATAAAACATGCAAAATATTATTTAATAGAAGTTACTCACATAAATGTAAGTTTATACGAAGATAAAAATACAGTCACTCTTCACTGCCATGAACTCAACCACATATAAATACCCTTGGTCTAATTTCACAGAACTTCCATGTTTTGTGATGGTATCAAATCAAGACTGCAGAGAGCTGAAGGCTGATACCAGGTTAAGTGAAAGGGAATCAGAGCCATTCTGCTTTTCTGGCACCCATTATGGTAATGTGATCAGTACCTTGACAGATGCTAAGAAGAATCATTTTGCTGATTGACTTTTCTTCAAATCTAAGGCTGTGGGCAATCAAAGAAAATATGAACATCTGGCTGAGCTTTTGATTGCCATGCTCACTGATATAGTGCACCCAAATAAGCAACAATTAGTACAGCTTGTGTCAAAAGACCCATCAGCTAATTCAAATTAAGTCAGGAAAATTGAATCCAATTGGCATTCATGCATATTTGTATGCAAAGTTTAAATATTAATCTTCTGCATTACATTATCCTTTATTTACAAGGGAAAAACATGCAAAGTTTTGTGGTTTAAGCAAATATTTTCAAAAGCCTTTTGACTTCTTAAAGCCAAACTTCTGGTAAAACTCCGTGTGCTTTCAAAGGACATATTCAATCTAATAAACAGAAAAATGTGGTGCCTTTCCTGAGTTCATATTCCTCACTTCTTAAAAAATGTCACAAATTTGGACAAGTAATTCATCGGCATTTTGTCAGTAGCAATTATAGTAATGCAGAATTGATATGTGGGTAAATTCACTAGCTCAGAGAGTGGCCAAGATAACTACCAGACTGCAATAAGAAAGAAAAATCTGAAGACTAATTTCCACATGTTTTTGCTTGATTATAAGTGTAAAACCCTGGGAATATGTACTTTCTTTTTTAAAAGAATAGCTTTCCTGTTGGGATTCTATTTATCGCAACAGTAAATTAGGTTGCATGAGAACCTGAGATTAAAACTAATCAAAGGCAAAAGACAAGTTGTGTGCCTATTTTTTAAAAAGAGAAATTTAGTAAAAAAAGTCAAATTTATTTTTATTTAATTTTAGCTTCTTGCAGTAAATAAACTTTAGTCATTGTGTGACAGATATTGTTTCCAAGTTAAGCTGTTAAAATTTTATTTGTAACTTGGTTGTGAAATCTGGGTTTTTTCTTAAAAAATAGTGACAGACTCTCTGGCTGAGGTGCCATCTGTCCTCAGCTAACTAGAAGTGAAATTTACTGTAATCTTACCTAAATCTCAGTTATCTTAATCTTACCTGGCTATAAAATCCTGTTACGAAATTACGGGATTTCTGCAACTCATTCAGATGTGTTAATCTAAAGCCTAGCACAAACCAGTGTCCATTGTCCCCCAGCAGCTGCAGCTTTGCTCTTGGACTGGGGTCACATTGCACCTGTAGCCACCTCTCCCGAGGGCCAGTATTGTCAGAGCCAGGGAGCTTCAGAGCAGAGCTGGGAATACCTAAAATACTGACAGAGCAGAAGAGGGACCATGTCACAGGAGAAGGTTGGGTGAGTCACTCCATTGGCTGGGAATCACACACTACATTATCAGCTGCCACTGATGCAATGAGTGGGGCCAAGCACCTGCTACAGTCTTATTTTTCTTAGGGTTCCCTTTGTTTTGATGACAAGAAATACATTTTCCTAATCACTGATTCAAACACTCTTGAGAACAATCAGATTAATTAATTAGAAAACTGTTACTATGCTGCCTTCATCAATCAAGAGTTAGCTTGTGATCCATAACTCCAAACAGTCTTTTAGCAGCTGTTTTCTTCAAGTCCTTTCCTTTAAAATACTAATATCTCTTATACATCCATCTTCTGATTCAGAGGTTAAGAGTTCTACTAGTATTACCTTTAGAAATATAGTTGATGGAAAATCCCCTAGGTAGTCTAATGATACGGTCCAGTTACTCTCAAGTGCACAGGCCCCTTATAAATGCTACTCAAAAATCAATATCAACCCTTCAGTGCCTTCAAAAGATGTGGAGTAAGGGCCATAATAATGGTGATTGCCTCCAGCAAATAACTGCTCAGTGATTATACTGCAGTGGCCTGGAAGTCCAAATCCCCCTTAATAACTTTCAAAATGGATGCATGCTGGGAAATGTAAAATCATCCCTAGCATGCAGGTCAGTAGCTGCACTTTCTAGTCAAGTACCTACTTATTTACTGTGTTGCTCTCTTATTATTGACATAAGATTTTGGACAAGTCTGCTAAAAAAAAGGTAAGCTCCAAACCAGTTCAGACAAGTTCAGCACAGCAAAGAGTACTGTGCACCACAGGAGAATCAGCTGGCAGCTCCTCCCTTTGCCTGTTTTATTTAGGAATCTCAAAGTAGACAAAGGAGAATACAATTTCAAAGACCATGGTAGTAGGGAAAAACTCACTCCAAGTGTAAACAACAAAGCATCATTCATATTGATGGCCTCTGATATTTATTCTCTGAGTAAAGCAGCTGCTTGCTTGCAGTCAGGAACAGGGGACTACCTAGCAAAGTCTGAAGTAGTGTTACTTACTTTACCACCAAGACTCTGAATGTAATGTCGTGGCATTTGCCCGGAGTTCAAGTTTCCATGGTTTGCACATGAGAAGGTCTCAGTGGACAGGATCAAACTCAGCACAGGGCAGGTGTAGCAGCCACTGCTTCCGCTCTCCACAGACCCAGCTGCACCACTGCTGTAAAAGATTGGCTACAAGTCACCCAAAGCTAAAGTTGCCTTAGGGCATTGCCTTCCCATCTCAATATCTTCTGCATGCTGACACTGAATCAAAACTAGCCAGCCAACCAAAATGGTTTGCCAAGACATCAGGGTTTCCTTAAAGTCTGCTAATGGCTGAATCCATGCTTGACCCATGTGTACAATTCACACTCAAAAATAAAAGACATGATAAATTTCTCTCTCTACAGATAATTCTTGGCAGATGAGTGCTCCATCTTTCCTAAGACAGGAAGACCTTGCCATACAGAACAACCTTGCTATGTTTATCCTTCACCCTAACAAAACTTGTAAGTAAAAATACTGGAAAAAAATTGTCCATATACATACATAGATCTATTACCAGCAATGTTACTTGCTACAAGACACAATGAAGTAATTCTACAATAATAAAAAAAAAGGTTGGAATTTGAAAGACAGAGGTGTTTTTGTATATTAAAACCAGAAGTACAAAATAATGATTGATGAAGGAGAACTTCCAACTTTTTACTTTTTTAATCCTGCATTGGATTTTAAATATTTTTATTTCAACCATTTCTCAAATATTGAAGTTTATTTTCTACCAGTATTCCTACCACTTCAAATGTCTTAGCAAGTTCTGGAAAACCAACCTTTTTTGTAGACGTGCTCTACCATCCTGTTGAGTTCTAGAGTTCCGTTAACCATAATAAAATCTTTATTGTGTGTTTTTCCTGCATGTATAATATACTGTTTGTATGAATGCCTATCACAACTGGAAATATATTGTGCCATCTAGCAGCTGACAGTTCAAGCTATGCATAAATATTAGAATAGAGAAAAGGTTAGTATGATTTCAGAGTCAGTTACATTGAAAATTCTCTGAACTGGTCACTCTCTTTGTGCCATCTGTTTTCATAGGACATTCTGGTAGCTGATGGGGTTTTTATTTCAAAAATGCTGAAAACAAATGTTATGGCCAAATATATTGTCTGCAAGTAGCATTAGGTAGTGAAATAAATTAGACTAAGTACATACCCAGGAGTAAAATTTAGTTACAGACATGAGTGCTACCAGAGGTATCAGACTCAGGGAACCCATTATGATTTAAACCTTAGTGATATGACAATAATAAGATACCTTAAGCAAGCTGTTGGCTGAATCAATCAAGTTAATCTCAGCTGTGTGTTAGTGAAGTCATTTTATCCACATAAGTTGATTTTAGTCCATTAAGACAGCCCTTTTACTTCACAGTGTGTGTAATCATTATGTTTCCCTACCTTCATTTGTCTTCATTCAAAGGAGCACTCGACCACTTTGGTGCTTATTGCCATTAACAACATTGTGGTTTACCTTAATACAGTGTCAAATGGAGCCACAAAGAGTCATGTGGATGATAGCAAGAGAATCTGCATCAGTGTGCTCAAGGTTACTATGTAGGTGAGAAATATAAATGAGGGATGAAATGCAATTTAAGCAAACACTCAGATGGAAAACAAATGTGCCATTGCAGATACACAATTCCTGAAGCAGCTGTATAGGACTCCTCCTTCACTTGTAATTCTTGCAATGGGATTAAAAATCAGAAGAAATCAGAATTGTTAAGCAATGAGGACATGGCAGATATTTTTACTAAAGCTGTATTTCAGTGAAATTATTATCTTTTACTGACAAGACAAGCATTATAAAACAGAGAGTTAACTGCATGAGCATCTTAAGAGCCTGTGTATTCAAGCTCAAAAGTTCATTTGGCAAAGACTAATAGGCCTAAAATCTTTCTAGTTCTTTTTAACACCTTCTGTTTTTCTCCTTATTGTTGGCACTGATGTACAGTTATTATTGTAGTATCTGATAATATTTACAAACTCTTGCTACTTTTCCTCCTTAGAGACCTCATCTGAATCACTTTTGAATATCTAGCAGATGTTCAAGATACTGAGTTCTTACAAAGGTGCAAGACTCTAAATACCATGTGAAGCACAGCTACAATCTCTAACTACTGTGCTTAAAAAGTGAACCTTTCCTTGAAGACACCATCTCATATAAATACCTGCTGCTGTTTTTATCCTCTGAATCAGCTTGTGCTGATCATGGGGGATTCAGGATCCCAGACCAGACTAATCCCACACTGTATCCCAAGGTGTACAAAGTCCCTATGTTAATTTTGTGCCCAGCACTTATGCTCAACATTTCCAGCAGTATTTTTAACATAACAGTCTTTTACTATGAGTCCTTGGCCTCCAACATGTGGTAGAAAAAGAAATGTGACTCCTGAGGCCAAAGTGTATGGATGGGAGAGGATGGTTTTGCCTTTTGCAGTACTGATCTTACTAAGTTTTAAAATGCACACTCAAGGGAATATGTTAATTTGACTGAGTACTCCTCACTTCACTAAAGAATCAACTTTTATCAGCATCTCAGGATTGCTCCCCAGGTCTTGTATGAAACTGTGCACAGCTAATAAGTCTAGTGGCTTTTTAGAAGCAAAGTGGTTTGTCACTGTGTAGCAGCATATGACCTGCTGAGGTCAGATCAGATGCAGATTTGTTTCAGAAACACTTAGAATTTTCATTTTCTCTTAAATTAAAAGTAAAAATGTCTGCAGGATCAGAAACCTCTTCATTAAGGATGGGTATGTATTTATGTACTCCTTTGTGTACACCTTAATCTTCTTCCACATTAGCCATAGGGGAGTTAATCAGATGCTCAAAGTGAACTTCGGTGAACATGCAGAAGCAGCAGGTAGGTCAGAAGAAATCACTCATCTCTCACTGATATAGCAGTCACATTATGAATGTGATACAGAGCTGAGAGGAATAAGAGTGATGCTATCCAATCTCAGAATGCCTTGATCAATCAGCAGGGTCAAAAAATCAAACTTAATCTGCTGAACTGCTAATTGTTGAACTAATGTGCTTTTAGTGTGTATATTTACATGTACCTGCCTTGTAAAATTCCCTGACCAACGTGTGTTACCAATAGTTAACCCCAGTACTACCTCTGCAGCTGCACCTCCTAAGAATCTTGGCCTATTCTGCTCTCTGAGGAGAGAGGAGAAGCATCAACATTACATCCCACTCCCCTTGAAATCTCACCAAATCAGGAACAAGTTCATGCAGGATGGCTTGCTTTGATTCTGTCAGTGTTTACATTTAAGGCAAAAAGGGCATGAATGACTCTGATGCCTAATGGTACAAGGACACTGATGTACAAAACTCTATCAATTAAAAGGAAACATCTACTTTCATATATTAATACAGGAATGTAGTCAGAAATCTTATAACCCTTTTTTGTTCTTCCCAAATTAGATTACACATATATCATTATACTCATCGTTTTATGGATATGTGAAAAAGAACATGTATGATTGATCTTCAAATCAACCCTCAGCTTGACAGCCTAGACCAATGTATTATCCAGACCTCTATTTCTCATTCTGTTTCAACTGTCAAAAATAATTTTTTTTGTCATAAATAAGAACTCTCCAACAACAACACAAGATAATCTGATACTGGCAGCCGCCTTGCAATGCACCTGTTCTCCGAATTCTCTTTGCTTTTGAAAGAACTCCCAAGTTTCCAGGCTGCTTCCATGAATAGCAACCTCATCTCTTGGACAGCAGTATTTGTAATGAAGTGAGATCAATTATTTACAATGTTTCCTGGAGGACACAGAGGTGATGTAAGTTACAGATTAATTAACTTCTGGACACAAAATATAACTTAACTGTAAAACCAGCACACAAGTGGCTTTCCACCACTTTTTGAAGTCCATTTTAGTTCCAATACTGGGTTAAAAAAAAAGTCTTAACTGGAAGATTCTCCAGTTTTTCTTTATGGATATAGAATGATTGAGAAATTGCAAAAAAAACCCAACATACTCTTAAATTACAGTTTCAGATGCCCAGGATTCTAACAAATGAAATTTTTTTTAACCCAGAGGGTACCTTTGAAAGCCATAAATGTCACTGAGATTCCCTTGTTGTGAAGACAGGTAAGGAGTGGGTGTCTGAAGTCACTGTTAGGCCCTGACAGACTTGCATTCATTGCAGGTACAGTTTTTATTGAAGTACAAAAGCAAGCCTGGGGAGCAGCACATGCTGGGGAGGTGTCCTTAGGCCAGCAGTAATTAGCTCCCCTAAGAATCCTGTAGCCACGAGGTGCTGTTAGCATTAGGAAATGTACTGCACTTGGAAGATGCACAAGGATTTCAAAGAGCTCACTGCTACCAGATTATCCTCTACACTGGATTTCTGCATTCTGTTCTCAACTCTTATTATAAAATTATACATAGATATTCAGACAAATTTGTAATTATTTTTAACGACCAGTTATTGCACTTAATACTCAAAACCCCAAAATTTATGTTTTAACAAGGAATGTCCCTTTCGTGTAAGGAAACAAGTTTGTTTTCATTTATTTAAGAAGCCTTAAAATCTGTTCATTTTTCTTTTTTCCACTTGTTTACTCCTTGAAAAAAGTTTTTGGTCTGTATAAAAGAAGAGAATTCTTTGAAGTAACTCACTTTTTCTTCCCTGATGATACTGCAAGATTCAATGAAAAAAACTCAACAAACCACAGAAGGATTTTGTCAGGTTTTAATAACAGGACAACAGAACAGAAATGTAAGCTGCAAAAGGCTTTCTTGTACTCCAAAAGCTCAAGATTAATATCAAAGTGATAATCAAAAAATTAAGTTGAAGGGGAGTCACATAGACATCAGAAAAAAAACTTTTTCTCAAGGAAGGTAATGCTGCTCAGGGAGAAGTTGTTCAGCAAGGACATCTCAGAGGTATTTGAAACTCAGCAAAAAAAGGCCAGGACTGGCTGGACCAAGCTCTAGTACCAGCACCACCTCAGCTGGGGGCCTGGAGTTGGTAACTCCCAAAGGACCTTTCCAAGCAAAAGTTCTCCTCCTTACTGTAGTTACTGAAACTACCCAAGAATCATCTAAGAAAAGATAGGATTTTAATTAAAAGGTTAAATATGGTAAACCCCCTAAATATAGAAATAAAGCGAAATATTGAAATCCTAATGCAAAAAGAGCAAAGCTTCAAATAAGGAAACACTCATTCCTCAAAGCCCCTGTAATTTAGGGCTTTTCACTGAATTGTACATACTAAATGGAAGCTGAGGACCAACACCTTTTTCCTTTCAAGTCATCCCAACGGGAATCAGATACATTTATCAGATACATACAGCAAGAGTCTGCGGACAGATAAAGTATTTACTAAAAGTTACCCATATCGTCTGTCATCTGCATTTCAAAAATAAACATATAATTTTACAATACAAATCCATTAAAGTTAAGTACTATCACTTCAACACACTTTTCTTCATATAAGATTTTCCTTCCCAAAATTTCACCTTCAAGACTTCAAACTGTAAAAAAATATTTTATTTTCCCTTTTCA